CGGGCGCCAGGTGTCGGGGCTCAACCCTCGACCCTCGGATCGAGGGCCCGAGGCCCTGGAGTCTAAACTTGGCGATCCTTGGATCTAGAATCCGAGGCGCTCGCGCGCGCTCAAGACCAATATTTCGGGCCCTCGATCCGAGGGTGGAGGATCGAGTCTGCCCGGCGGCAGCGCGGGCCCGAGGGCGACCAGATGGGCACTAACTAGGCTCGGCCCCCGAGCCTCGGATGTCGAACACGCGACCTTCCAGCCCAAGCGCGGTGACCCATCGGATCTAGGATCCGAGGTGCTCGCAGATGCTCAAGACCAAGATCTCGGGCCCTCGAGCCAAGCGTGGAGCGTCGAGCCTGCTCGGCGGCAGCGCGGGCTCGAGGGCGGCGAGAGGGGCGATCTACCATCGCCGAGGCTCGGCCCTCGAGCCTCGGATGTCGAAAACGAGATCTTCCAGTCCAAGCTTGGCGACCCTCGGATCTAGGATCCGAGGTGCTCGCAAATGCTCGAAACCAAGATCTCGGACCCTCGATCCGAGGATGGGGGGTCGAGCCTGCTCGGCGGCAGCGCGGGCCCGAGGGCGGCGGCGCGGGCGATCTACCATCGCTCGCGCTCGGTCCTCGAGCCTCGGGCGTCGAGACCGAGATCTTCGAGTCCAAGCTTGGCGGCCCTCGGATCTTGGACCCGAGGTGCCCGAAGGCGCTCGGGCTCAAGATCTCGGACCTTCGGTCCGAGGATGGGGGGTCGAGCATGCTCGGCGGCAGCGCGGCGATCGTGGATCGCCGAGGCTCGACCCTCAATCCTCGGATCGCAAAACCGAGATCTTCGAGTCCAAGCTTGGCGACCCTCGGGTCTAGGACCCAAGGTGCCCGAATGCGCTCGGACTCACGATCTCGGATCACCGATCTGTGGATGGAGGATCGAGCCCGCTTTATTCCTTGATGCTTGATCGAGGATCCCTCGGCGAGAGGGGGGAGTAGCGCCCCGCTGCCTGGGGCGCCGCTCGCGCGTGCACGAGCGCCCCCTCGGAGCTTGAAAAGCAGATGGGGCTCGGGCGCGCGCCTCGAAACGGCGCCCCCGTAGCGAACAAGCATGGGGCACTTGGCTCGGGGAGCTCGCGCATTCAGGCGTCCACGAGCATGATCGAGGCGGGTTCTGACTTGGCCTTCGCGTCGGCCTGGCTCCTCTCGCCATCGCGCCTGTTCATGGTGAGCTTGTCGCGATCGGCCTGGGCCGACGCGAACTTGCCGAAGTGCAGCTTGATGCGGTTATCGATGAGCGCCTGCTCGCGCTGCTGCTGCGCGACGGTTTTCGAGTGGCCCCGCTTGGCGCGCTCGTCTTGGTAGCTCTGCCCGCGCGGCTCGTAGCCCATGTCGGCGGTCTTGTTGATAGACCAGCACCACTTGATAATTGCTTGAATGGTGGCCTTGGCGACCCCGTCGGGCGCGATCGGGGCCATGGGGGTCTCGTTGCACCACCTGGCGCACTCTCGGGCCCTGCTCGGAATAATCTTGAAGAGCATCCCGGCACCCTCGGCAGGCCTCTCGCCCAAGTGCTCGGCGGGCTCGAATTTCTTGTTGAGCGGCAGCGCAAGCTCGTGGCAATGGAGGAGCTCGGCGGGGATGCTTGGGAGGCCATGCCCGACGCGCTCGGCGTAGGGGCCGTGGGTCAGCTTCTCGGCGTTCTCGGCGCCGAGCCCCGCGTCTTTCTTCTTGGCGAGCTCCTGCAGCTCGGCCCTGAAGCTCGGCGTGAGCCAGAAGAGGTCCTCGGGCGGCTCTCCGTGGTTCTCGAGGATGTCGCGCGCGAGCTCGCTCTCCTCGACGTAGGTCTTAAAGGGCACCGCCGCGGCCAACCCGATGCGCCTCTTGTCCTTCTCGTTGAAGATGCGGCCGTGCTCGATGCTCTTGTAGCACCCGCCTTGGCAAGCCATCTCGAGCGCGGGTTGCTGGGCGCTGCTTGACCGCGAGGCGCCCTCGGCCTTGGAGTCGCAGCTCGTCATCCTCGCTGCGCCCGTTCCTTGCTCGCTCGACTGGCACTGAGGAATCTCGGGGTTGGAGGCCTTCTCGGCGATGTAGGACAGCTTCTCGAGGATCTTCTCGTTCTGCCTGGCCATGCGCTCGAGAATATCGTTCGAGCTGGGGGCAGCCGGGTGCTTCAGCGGCTCGACGGGGGCGGTCGCCGCCGCTGCGCGCTGGGCGGGCTGCGCCATCGCTGGAGCTCGCGACGCAGTCAGGGGCAACGATGTGGGGAAATAGGCATTGGGGGGGAGACAATGACCTGGAATCGGCGATGCATCGCCGATGCGCGCCCCAAGCATCGGCGATGTACCGCCGATTCCAAGTCGATGCACCCCCCATTGCCTACGCATCGGCGATACATCGCCGATGCATAGGCATGCCAATCCCCCCCTATCGCTGCCCCTGGGGCGAAGAGGTTCGGCGCCTCGAAGAGGCTGGAAAACTTGGAGTCTCGGGGGCTCGGGGAAGCTTGGGCCCGGGCAGCTGCGGGGGCAGAGGGGGGGGGAGGAGGAGGAGGAGGAGGAGGAGGAGGAGGAGGAGGAAGAGGGCGAGGAGGAGGAGGAGGAGGAGGAGGAGGAGGAAAAGGAGGGAGGAGGAGGAGGAGGAGGAGGAGGAGGAGGAGGAGGAGGAAGGGCCACGAACCGTGTGAGGGATGCGCTGAAAATGAAGTTATTTAATTAACTAACGCCAATGCTCTGCCGGCTCGACAAAACGCTTGCACAATCAAAATCCAATCGGTCCCCATGGCCCTGCCACACGTGCCTGACTCGGGAACGGCTAAGAAATGATAATCCCATGGCCCTGCCGCACGGTTGTAACGTGGGCAAACTGAACTGGTGAGAACGCCACAACCCTGCCACACGCTCGTGATTGCGGAAGCTGGTGTGGTGAGACCACCATGGCCATGCTCACCGTTTTTGATGCTGTTGCTAATCAGCATGATATGATCGCAACTTCGATCCCCGTAACTTCTCCGTGGGTTGTAAAGGTTGGCCTCCGCACCTTCCCCACATATAAGTCCCTGTGGTCGGGGATTAAAGAATAGGGGGGGTAAGGGGAGGTACTTTATCATCGCCCGTCGGCGGTTATGGACCAATGCGTCGAGCCAACACGCAACGAATTGGCACAGACGTCTGGAGAATGGGACGTGCCGCGATTCAAAACGGGCGTGCCGAGGCAACTGGGATCGGCGATGCACCGGCGGTGCACAGGCGATGCACCCGCGATGCAGCGGCAACGTCGTCGTGAAGAACATCGGGATCCACCTCGAGCCGCATCGCCACTGCATCGACGACACGCCGGCGATGCGGCTCGATCCTTCGACCCTAGACTAGCGCGTTCCACTACTTGCAAAGTAACTACTCGCAAATGGCTTGGGTCCGCCGCAAGGGATCTACGATAAATTATCGAAGCAGATATGTGTTTTCCGGACGTTTGCGAGTAGGCACTTTGCGAATAGTGGAACGCGCCTGGTGAAACCCGATCTACTCCCACCCAATCTGGGGGGCCGAGGAGATCGTGCGGCAGGCGGCCCCGCACGAGGCACTCGGGAGGGGGAGGGCGGGGGGAGCAGGAGGGAGGGGCGGTCGGAGACGCTGCGGCGGCGCGAGCGCGAGCACGAGGGGGAGGAGGAGGAGGATGAGGAGGAGGAGGAGGAGGAGGAGGAGGAGGAAGAGGAGGAAGAGGAGGAGGAAAAGGGAGAGCGCCCCCCCCCTCCCCCCGTACGCATCCCCCGCCCCGCCGCCTCGCGCCCTCTCTGCCCGGCCGCACCGCGCTGCCCGGCCCCGCCTGCCCTCTCCTCCCTCCCAGCCCCTCCCCCCTCCCCTCCTCCCATCGCCCTCCTCCTCCCCTCCTTCCCTCCCCTCCCTCCTCCTCTCCTCCCCCCTCCCCTCCTCTCATCGCCCTCCCCTCCTCCCTCCCGGCCCCTCCTCCCCTCCCCTCCCCTCCTTCCCCTTCCCCTGCCCTCCTCCCATCGCCTCCTCCTCCCCCCTCCCCTCTTCCCATCGCCCCCTCCCATCGCCCTCCTCCTCCCATCGCCCTCCCCGCCTCCCATCGCCCTCCTCCTCCCCTCGCTCCCCCGTGCATGGCGCAGAGAAAACGCACTGTGTAAGACACACAACACACACAAACGCACACACAAACACACACACACACACACACACACACACGCGCGCGCGCACGCACACGCACACGCACACGCACACGCAACGCACACGCACACGCACACGCACACGCACACGCACACACGCACACGCACACGCACACGCACACGCACACGCACACGCACACGCACACACACACACACACACGCACGCGCGCACACGCACACGCACACGCACACGCACACGCACAGGCACACGCACACGCACACGCACACGCACACGCACACGCACACGCACACGCACACGCACACGCACACGCACACGCACACGCACATGCACATACACATACACATACACATACACATACACAACACACACACACACACACATTCACACACACGCGCACACATCGGTGCCCACCGTATGGTTATGTCTTGCGCTTGGTGTCCAGACCACACAGCAGTCCCTCGCGCTGCCTGCGGCTGGTGGTGCGTTGCACTTTTTTGGACAGGACCTACGTAAAGGCATCGCGCCGAAGTTCTAATTCAACATTGCGGTGGGATAGACAATCTCATATATTGGATTGCAGCACGAGCCACAACAGCGAGACAGACAGGTCGTACTTGGGAATGCGCGGCCAAGGCAACGACATTGATGTCGCTGGGCAGATTCTTCACCGCTGAGACAGAAGCGAAAAGAACAAATGGGAGAAATTGCGAAGGCAAGTGGAAAGCAAAAACCTGGAAATAGCCAGGACAACAACTTGGAATCTCCTGCGTACCCAACGCAACAGCGATACCAGCATACTTGTACAGACGAGTGAAGGGACGGCTACCTTCGGAGGTGCCGAGGTTTCGGGAGGCTGCCAGGGGCATCTAGAGACCTACTCTCAGGTGAGCCCCAGGCGATCTACCTTTCTGCTTATGGTAGACACCTCCGACCGCAGCTCTTGGATGTCGAAGCTAGAGGCCGAACCCTTCAGCCGCATGCAGCCGTGCACGAAATTATTTATGCGCACCTTGCCGTTTTCCGAGCTCCTCCACAGGACGCCGAAGAATTGGATGACGTTGTCGAGAGAGAGCCCCACGTGCTGAAACCAGGCAGGTATCCTGTCATCGCGGAGGCCTCTGTGGAAGTCCGCGGCCGAAATGAACTCGTCATCCTCGCCCACCTCCCTCCACAACTTACGCAGCTCCAGGGCCACCATCTCATCCTCCTTGCGACGGCTCAGGGCCATGGCCTCCCGGTCTGGGGCCAACCTCTCGAGGGCCGTGTCCACGAAGATGCCCGTTATGATCCGCTGCGCGAGAAAAGAAATGTGCGCACTTCTCGGGCGTGCTCATCGGGGACGCTGCAGCCAGGACGCTGGTATAAGGACCGCTTGTGGCCCAGGAGGGGCTGTGATTTCCGGGCCGTTACTTGTCTTTGGGTCGGGTCCGACCGAGGCTCCCAATGGTGAGAAAAAGCCCCATCGCTCCTTGTTCAGCGCTCCTTCTGGTAGAACGATGGTAATAATCAGGGACGCGGTCGCTAACCGGCCACGCAAGTCGTCGAGGAAGAGGAGGCAAGAGCAGGCAGACTTTTGAGCAGGGACCGACCGTCCCAGCATTCCTATAGTCCTACCACGAAATGCTCTTAGCACCCAACAATGTTCTATTACCAAAACAATGTTCTTAGAACATAACCCCCATGTGCCAAAGCAAGACGATCTCCGCCAGACATGTTCCAAGAACGTCTCGCGGCAACCACAAGAGGGTCTAAGCACACTGTCTGGTAGGGCCATGGGCGAACCAGGGCGCTTGGCCACTGCTTGAGTGACTTGCGGGAGAGGCACGGGCTGGGTCATTTGTTTGGACGCCCGAAAGGGGTACGGAAAGAATGGGTACAATGCCCAACAGCAGTTCCTGCCCATTCTGAACAGGACTCGCTGTCGGTGTCGCCGCGGCCTGTGTCCAGTTGAGACAGAAGGCCGCCTGCCCAACAGCGGCCGCTGTTGGTTTGGGACAACCTTTGTTGTTGGGCATAGTACCCATTCTTTCCGTACCCATTTCGGGCGTCCAAACGGGAGGAGAATGGGGAGGAGCGGGAGGAGGAGGGGGGGCAGGAGGAGCAGGAGGGGGGGGAGGAGGAGCAGGAGGAGGAGCAGGAGGAGGAGGGGCAGGATGAGGAGCAGGAGGAGGAGGAGGTTTCGGGCGTCCAACATTTGGGAACGCCCCTCGCTATTTACCCCAACAAGCGGGGCCTGCAACTGCGTGCTCCCATCCCCCTCTGCCGACGCTGCGCGGGCGCCTCCGCGGTCCTGCGGCAGCCCTGTGTTGAGCCGGTGTGCAGCATGCCTCGGGGAGGTCACCTGCGCCCCCACGAGGACCGGGCCTTGTCTGACTACCTACCAGACCACCCCAACCCAACCCGAAGACCCGAATTTCGGGTTGGGGGGGGGGTATGGGCTCCATAGGTGTTTTTTTATGTTTCTGGACCCCCCCCCCACTAGAAATCGAGGGTAAATCTGACCCTTCGGGTTGGGTTGGGGTGGTTTGGTGGGTGGTGATTGTCCCAGGAAGGGCTCGCCGGCGTCCAAGAGGACCACAAGAGGAAGCCCCTGGGAGGACCCATGCGACGCCCCAGAATCTCCAATACACCGCCAAGAGAGCCCCTCCGATGCGGCAGCAGGGCAAAACAAAACCTTGCCGAAGCGAAGCCCGAACATCAAGAAAGAAACCCGAACATCGAAAAGAAGCGAAACACGGAAATCACCCCACAAACGAACGCCGAAACTCCTATCGAACCCACCCCCGAAAATCCGAGAAGAGCCGAGCCCAACACACCAGTTCAGACCAGCCCAGGCTCGCCCCTCCTCGTTCGTCCTTCCCCCTCCTGCTCGTCCTCCACCTCTCCTTCTCGCTCCTCCCCGTCCTCCTTGTCCTCCTTCCGATCCTCCCACCTCCCCCTCCTCCGTCCTCCTCCTCCACATCCTCGCTTGTTCTCCCACGCCTGCTGCCCTCCTCCCCTCCCTCCTCCCTCCTCCTCCTCCTCCGCCTCCTCCTGCCTCTTGCCTCCTCTCTCTTCTCATCATTCCTCCCTCCTGCCTCCTCCCTCCTCCGTCGCTCCTCCCTCCTCCTCCTCCTCCTCCTCCTCCTCCTCCTCCTCCTCCTCCTCCTCCTCCTCCTACCCATGCTCTGTCCGCCCTCCTCCCTCCTGTATCCTCCCTACTCCCCCCCTCCCCCCCTCCCTCGTTGTTCCTCCCTCCTCTTCCCTCCTTCCTCGTCCTTCCACTCGGCACGCGGCAACGCCTGCGGGGCGGAAAGTGGAACTTTCCAACCTTTACTCGCCACGTGGCCAGCACTTGGGGGCGAACAAGATGTGTTTCTCCACTCTCCTCGCGACGTGGGAACGCCTGCGGGACGGACAAAGCAACCAGTCCACGCGATCTGCCAGAGCGACGCGACCGAGGAGCGAAACGCAAACTTCTCCACTCCACGACTCGCCTCGTTGCATTGCCTGCGAGGCGCAACACGTGTTTCTTCAATCTACTCGCCACGTGGCAACACCCGGGGAACGAAACGAATACTGATCCCCTCTCCCTGCCACGTGGCAACGCACGGAGGGAGAAACACATACTACACTACTGCACCAAACGCCTGGCAACGCCTGCGGGGCGAAACGGAATTTCCCCATTCTACCCCGAAAAGTGGCAGCGAAGCGGGGCGGCAAACATACTACCCCTCTCTGCTCGCCACACGGCAACGCCATGTGACAAGGCCTGAGAGGTAAATTAAACTACTACCCCACCCCCATCGCGAAGTGGCAACGACATGGGGGGGCGAACAATAAGTACACATGCGAAGAACTCATCACGTAACAATGTCGCGCTGGCCGAACATATGCAATCCCACTCTACTCGCCACGTGGCAACGTCTGGGGGGCGAACACAAAGATTCCATTCGATTCGCCACGTGGCAACGCCGCGGGGCGGGCGTACATAGAGCCCCACTCCGTTCGCAACGGGGCAACGACAGACTGGCGAACAAAATAAAATACAAATTTGCGCGCAACGATACCAAACCGCACAAAGAGAAACACAACTACTCTGTGGCGTTCGACGTGGCAACGCCACGGAGGCGAACACCAAAATCTACGCGGCACGTGGCTCCAACGCGGACGAATACAACGACGAGGACGAGGACGAGGAAGAGGAACAAAAATACGACGACGAGGACGACACGACCGACGTCGACGAGGACGAGGACGAGGACGAGGACGAGGACGAGGACGAGGACGACGACGACGACGACGACGACGACGACGACGACGACAACGGACCGCGATTGCGACGACGGGCGACGACGATCACGACGACGACGACAAGCACGACGACGACAACGATGTGAACGACAACGACGACGGAGACGACGACGACGACGCCGCCACCGCCCGGCCGCCCGCCCGCCCGTTCGCCCGCTCGCGCGTTCGCCCGTTCGCCCGCCCGCCCGTTCGCCCGCTCGCTCGCGCCACCTGGCAACGCCGGGGGAGCGAAACAGATACTGCTCCACTCTCGCTGTCACACGGCAGCGATCGGAGGGGGGAACACATACTACACCACTGGGCTCGCCACGTGGCAGGGCCTGGGCACGTGGCAGCGAAGCGGGCCGGGAACACATGCGACTCCTGCCTCGTCTCATTTACTCCTCCTCCTCCTGCTCCCTCCTCCCCCCTCCCTCCTGCCTCCTTGCTCCTCTCCCCCCCTCCCTCCTCGCTCCTCCCTGCTCCTCTCTTGCCCCTCTACTCGGCACACGGCAACGCCTGCGGGAGGGGCAGTGAAACGATTCCACTTGACTCACCACGTGGCAAACGACTTGGTGCGAGATATACGCTACTCCACTCTTCTCGCGACGTGGCAACGACTGCGGGATGGACAGCAATGCCTGTCCACTCGAATTGTCAGGTGGAAGCGAATGGCAAGCTAACAAAAACTACCCCACTCAACTACTTGCACTTGGCATTGCCTGCGGGGCGGAACAGAAATTATGTCACCTTGCCCGCAACGTGACAATGCCGGGGTATCGAAACAAGTACTGGTCCAATCTCCTCGCCACGTGAGAACGCTTGTGAGTATCGTTTCCCCGATCCCCATCCCCAGCGGCGTGGCCTGGGCCTCACTGGCCGATTTACCCCCCTAGATGGGGATATGGGCCGTTCCCTTCGGGTTTCGCGGGGTGTATCCCCAACTGGGGGGTAATTTGGTGGGGGCCTCGAAGGGGATGGGGATGGGGATAGGGATCGGTTAAACGATACTGAGCTCGAAAGGGGAAACACATACTACTCCACTACACTCGCCACGTGGCAGCGCCTGCGGAGCGAACGCGCGCGCGCCGGCGCGCACGCCGGCCTGCCGGCCTGCCGGCCACCCGGCCGGGCGCCCACCCGCCCGCCCGCCCGCCCGCGCGCGCGCGCCCGCTCGCGCGCGGAACGTGGCGACGCCGGGGGAGCGAAACCAATAATACTGCTCGACTCTCTTTACCGAGTGGCAGCGCGCGGAGGGGAAACAAATACGACACCACCGGGCTCGCCACGTGGCAACGCCAGCGGGGCGAAGCAAAATCACTCCAGTCTGCTCGGCACGTGGTGGCGAAGCGGGCTGGGAACGCATGCTTCTCCACTCCTGCGCGCCACACGGCAACGCCACGCGGCAAGGTCCGAGAGGCAAACAGAGATACTATCCCACTCCACTCGCCACGTGGCAATAACACGGGGAACGAACAAGAAGTATACCACCGCTCTAGTCATCACGTGGCAATGCCGCGCAGCCCGGACAACTACAACTCTCACTCTACTCGCCAAGCGGCAACGCCTGGGAGGCGACAACACATGTTCCATCCCATTCGCCTTGTGACAGCGCCGCGGTGTGGGAACAAATACACCGCCACTGGATTGGCAACAAGGCAACGACAGGCTGGAAAACAACGAAGAATACCTAAAACAAAAACACCACAACCGCAGAAGCCACAAACGGACCACGCTGAGGTACCCGATGAAAAGCACCACTCGCCGACGCGCTACCCAGAACCCGATACGCCTAAGAAATCCACGTGTGAACATTTTTTCGCCCTACAACCCTCTCTGTTTCCCTCGGAGGTCTCCTACCTTGCTCTGCCTTGTCCTGCCTCCTCCTACGTCCACAAGCCTCCTCCAGCTGCACCCTGGCTCGTCCTACCCCCTTCTCCCTGTTACCATGTCCTGCCCCCTCCCACTCCTCCGACCTCCTCCTGCCGCCTACTACCTCGCCCTGCCTCCATCGAGATCCCCTCCTAAGCTGTTTTAGGTACCCCCCCCAGCTTGTCGGATCTCGCCCCTCCTAGAATTTCGGGTTTGGGCCTACGGCGTTTTGGGTCTCGCCGCTGTCGGGATCTCGGGTCTGGCCCTGCCCGTTTGCGGGTGCCGGGGGAACTTCCAGGCAAGCTTCTTCCTCTCCGATGCACCTGGGAGGCCACATGTATTGGACAACGGAATGCTTCAGCTTGCCTATGTTTACAACTGTCTGCTCCAAAAGGACCGCACACGGCTCAAACACTTCCCACGAAACGACTCCCCAAGAATCCACAAGATTGCCTCCCGAGACGACCCCGGGCAGTTCCAAGATGTCGTCAACACCGCCCCAGACAGGTCCCACGATACCTGTCAGACGCACGAGGGCAGGAATTGCCGCAGGCACCCGGTCTGTTCACGAGCGCGACGTTCGGGGAGACGTAAGGCTCGGGTTCAGAGGACTCGGATTGGCCCGTCGGGGCGGTCAGAAAAACGCCGAGACCCAATCAGAAATTTGACGCGAGTTACCGCTGCAAACATCACAAGAACACTGGACTGTCAAAACTCAAGAAGGACTCGTCAACAAAAACGTCGGCGAACCTGAAATCTGGCGAACTCGAGTCGTACGTTCCCCGGGATGTGCATGAATGAAACGAAAATGAGATAGACTGCCGAGGCGACCCAACCTGTGTTTGAGATGGCGTTGAAGGACAGGGACCAGTCATCGCCGCCTGTCGTCGCCTTGTACAGGGTGAGCATCGACTGTTGAACGGAGCCGTACATCGACAGGAGTTCCACGCGCACTTTCTCATCGGAGTCTGTCGTACCCTCGCCCATCTCCTGGAGGTGGGTCGCGGCGCTGATCACCATGCCCAGGGAGAACATGTACAGGACCACCGCGATCATGACGATGCTCCAGATAAAATTCATTAGAGACCCGATTATGCAAATGAAGATGTTGCGCAGCTGCACGGCCCCGGTGATCACGCGGACCAGGCGCAGGGCCTTGGCCACTTTCACGACGCGCAGGCTGCGCATGTAGGTGACGTTCCACAATTTGCCCAATCTGAGAACTATGTCCAGGGCGCCTGTGAAAACCAGCGTGAAATCTAGCATATTCAGGGCCCAGTCCTCGTTCCAGAAGAAGTACCACCCATGAACGTACAGCTTCGCCACCAGCTCCACTGTGTAGATCACCTGGAAGACGATCTCCAGGGGCAAGATGAGGGGATTCTGGTCTTCGTCCCAATTGGTCATCTCGCTGTTTGCGGCCAGTGCCATGAAGATGCAGTTAACCATGATTATGACCTGGACGAAGACCTCGAACCAGCTGTTTTGAAACAGCATCGCGAGTCTTCCGCTCCGCCTGGGCTCCTTCAGCTTCCACAGCCCGTTCAGCCGCTCGATCCACACGGTTGCCGTGCCCAGCTCTACCGCCTCGGTCTGCCCCTGCCGCTCCGCGAACTTCGACAGGTGCCTCTCCCTCTCCTCGCTCAGGGTGCGCTCCTTCGACATCTTCTTGCTCGACGACCTGGTCGGCGAGAACTGGGAGGTCGGAGAGGTCGGCGGGGTCGGATACTCGTCCTTTGCGGGGCCCGCCTGCACCTCGAGAGAAAAGGATGCACGCAGCGCACAGTAGGGTGAAGAGGCCCTGAGACACACAAATGAATACACACAACTAACAGGATTCCCCATATTTCCCAATATCTTCTGTTTTTTTTATCTTCCCCCTCACTTCCCATAGTTTCCCATCTTTTCTGGGGAATCGACGATTCATTATGTCTGTGTGCTTCTTTCCCTCCTGATAGGGGCCCGACAACAGGAAACCTTCCACAGGAATCCCAAACCCTGCGACCCCAGGACGTCCCCCGATGTTTGGTGTGGGAACGCCACGCTGTTCGTGGCAGAACCATCGGAACCCAGAACACCCAGGGCACCCTGGAGGCAAGCAGGGTGTTTCTTGGCATGGGCCCGCACTGCAAGCACGAACATTGGGATATCGGCGCTGGATTTCTTGGATCGGCTCTAGGATCCAGACCCCGCTCCACGGCGCGCGGGCGACAGGGGCTGCGCTCGAGGCGTCAGGGAAGGGTATTATTAAGTCGGGCCTGTCCCTCTACAGGAGGAATATTGAAGAATAGTCAAGAAATAATCAAGGGACGATGTTTCGACTATTGCTCTACAATGTTTGGGCATGTTGGGCATATTTTTCATTTGTCCTCCAATATCTGCCAGTAGGGGGACATGCACGACCTAAGGGTAGTAGTCTTGATCCAAGATATCCACGCGGATCTCCGAGAGTTGATGCTTATCCAGCGTGTTCTTCTTCGAACCTCGCCACTGGTGAGCTTCTCCTCCTGGACCTCAGGGAGGATCAACAGAAAACGATACCGCCGCTCCCCGGACCTCTGAGGGGGTGCACCCTGACACGGATTTCAATCCACTTGTGGCGACGACGGCCTCCCAGGAGGCCCAATAGGGCGGAAACAGGGCAAGGGCAACAACAGTTACCAGCGAGTCAGGAAATCGGATCGGATCGGCTGAGCCATGATGCACAACAGCGCCATGCGAGCAGCGGGACGCATCGGATCGGCATAATGTCGGAATCGGATCGAATCGGATCGATCGGGTCGAAGTGGAACCTGAAAGGGCAGAGGTGTCGGTGCCTTATCTAGAAGGGGAACAAAAAAAAGAATAGCTGCCTAAAGATGAGCTTTTGGCGCTCCGCGCGGATTCCTTGGACCTGCGCTGGACCCCCCTCCCTGGCCCGCGGAGCGCGCCAGGGGCGGCGCCAGAGACGCCGCCGGGGGGGGGGGCCAAAGCGGAGATCCAAGAAATCCGGGCGGAGCGCCGAACGTTCATGTTTACGACTTTTTTCTTCTCCGATGATCCTCCTCGGATGGGGCGTTGGCAGAACTGGGTTTAGTGGGACCTGGTTTAGCGATGTGTACTGGGGGGCGCCCCCCCCCCGCCCCGTTCCACTAGCCGGAACTGCCGTCACCCGAAAACACACCAGCTACGGCAGACCTGGTTCAGTGATTTGGGCCAATTGACGGGCTCCGGGGCCCTACTACCCGGGTCCCCTTATCTGGGGTCCTGGCTATACCCGATCGGAACCTCGGCGCGGGTGAGCCTGAAGCCAGACGCCCGCGCACCGCCGCCGGGCGAGCCGACCAGCGGCGTGGCCTGCCGCCAGCTGCTCGAGGACGGCGAGGCCCGCAGCGCCAGCGACACCTCCGAGCGAACGGCGTCCTGAGCGGCAGGCGCGCGCGCATCGGCAGGGGGGGCGGCCCGGTCTGCGGCAGACTCGCGCCGTGCCGATGCACGCCGGTCGGGAGCAGTGCACGAGCAAACAGGGGCGGGAGAGGACGAGAGGACGCGAGAGGAGGCGAGCGAGGGTCAGAAGACGGCGTGGACGACGGGGCGGCGCAGAGAGAGCCACGGCGAGGGGACGGTGCGGACAACGAGGGAAGGGCACGCGAAACCGCCCGTGGCCGCACCACTTTGCCAGACCGGTGCTGGTGCGCGCCTGCCCCCTGCAGGCAGGGGCCCCAGACTCTGGCGTCGCGATTTTGTTCGGAGCGTGGCCCCTGGAGGCCGCCGGTGGGAGGCACAGAGACATACTAGTACTATATGTCCTCCCTGGAGGCGCGCGTCCGACCCAGACATGTAGTGGACCCATCTTGTAGTGTACGCAGCACCCCGCAGCAGCGGATAAGAGTGAGGGGGTGGCGGGGACGTCGGCAGTCTGCGAGGCTCTGAAGAAGCCCGCCGCAGGCGCAACATTTCTCAAGCTTTACAACGAACCCGCCGCAGGCGCCAAATTTCTTGCTAAAACAATGTAGGTGGGTCGCGGGTTGGGTCGCAGGTGGGTCGCGGCTGGATCGACGGTGTGTCGCAAGTGGGTCGCGGGCCGGATCGCGGGTGGGTCGCGGGTGGGTCGCGGGTGGGTCGCGAGCGGGTCGCGGGTTGGGTCGCGGGTGGGTCACGGTTGGGTCGCGGGGTGGGTCGCGGGGTGGGTCGCGGGGTGGGTCGTGGGTGGGTCGCGGGCCGGGTCACAGCGGGGACGACGACAACAAACAACAACAACAGTAACAACAACAGTAACAACAACAATAACAACAACAACAACAATCAATTAAATATTGTTCGCCCTTATCTGCTCGAGTGTCCAAGAACGCTTATTTCCCAAACCCTCGATACCCGCCCTCTTCGTCTTCGATCGAACCCCTTTTGGGGGGTATACCTTTCTTCCCTGCAGGCCGGGCCCCAGCAAGCGGCGGGGCGGCCACGGACCGTCGGCCTGGCCAGCGGCAGCGCTGATCGGCGGGGCGGCCGCGGACCGTCGATCCGACCCCAAGAGGGACGGACAGGGAACCGACCACGACGACGACGACGTCGACGACGACGGCGACAACGACGACGTCGACGATGACGGCGACGAGCGAAAGCGAGAGCGAAAGAGAACGACAGCAGGGCCAAAAGGACACGAAGTAGGCCACGAAGGGCAACAGCGGGGACACAAAGGGAATGCGTATGGGGCCACGAAGAGCGCGAACGAGCGGGGGCCACGAAGGGCATACATATATGGGGCCACGAAGGGCAGCGAGGGGGCCAGGAAGGGATGCAACGGGGCCACGAAGGGCTGCGACGGGGCCACGAAGGGCTGCAACGGGGCCACGAAGGGCTGCGACGGGGCCACGAAGGGCAGCGAGGGGGCCACGAAGGGCTGCGACGGGGCCACGAAACAAAGCGAGGGGGCCACGCAGGACTGCAACGGGGCCACGAAGGGCAACGAGGAGGCCGCGAGGGGCTGCAACGGGGCCACGAAGGGCAGCGAGGGGGCCACGAAGGGTTGCAACGGGGCCACGAAACAAAGCGAGGGGGCCACGAAGGGCTGCAACGGGGCCACGAAGGGCAGCGAGGTCACGATTCCTATGTAATCTGTGAGGGAGTCCTAAGCGTGAGCGCGACTCCTGGGTGCCTGGGTGTCGGGAGCGCGGCGCTTGGGTAAATTGCAGGAAATTCCAACGCAAGGGCGCTATTCTTGAGTAAATTGCAAGCAAGTCTCCAGCGAGAGCGCGACTCCAGAGCGCCGGGAACATCAATTCTAAGGAAGTCCCAAGCGAGAGCGCGATTCCAAAATCAAGCGCGACGAAGTCTCGGGCGGGAGCGGGGGTTCTGGCTAAATTGTGAGGAAGTCTAAAACGGGAGCCGTTGTTGTTGTAAACCGGGGGCCACCGACACAGTTTGACCCTTAAGACTTTCCCTGATTAAAAACAGGGTGCGAGCCCCAGGAAGGGCACTTCAATCGAAAAAACAATGTGCACCGGACGGGGGGGATCAACAATAACTATTCTTCAGAAATGAGAGTTCAACAACAAGAACAACAACGACAACAACAACGCAACAAGCAGAATCCTCACCACGTATCCGAACTTAAGCCACACACCCATGGACAATGAATGACCGTCTGGCCCCCTGACTCTGATAAGTGCCTGGGCGGTGTGGCCAGACAGCGCCCGCCATGACGCATGTACTATCAGATTTCTTGGTGCGCGCGTCGCCCCTGGAGGGGGGGGGCGCCGCACGCATCGTAGTGGTAGTGGTAGTGGTAGTGGTAGTGGTAGTGGTAGTGGTAGTGGTAGTAGTAGTAGTAGTAGTAGTAGTAGTAGTAGTAGTAGTAGTAGTAGTAGTAGTAGTAGTAGTAGTAGTAGTAGTAATAGTAATAGTAGTAGTAGTATAGTAGTAGTAGTATTAGTAGTAGTCGTAGTAGTAGTAGTAGTAGTAGTAGTAGTCGCATCGTAGTAGTAGTGGTCGTGGTCGTGGTAGTGGTAGTGGTAGTGGTAGTGTTAGTGTTAGTGGTAGTGGTGGTAGTAGTAGTAGTAGTAGTAGTAGTAGTCGTAGTAGTAGTAGTAGTAGTAGTAGTATGTAGTAGTAGTAGAAGTAGTAGTAGTGGTACTAGTAGTAGTCGTAGTAGTAGTAGTAGTAGTAGTAGTAGTAGTTGTAGTAGTAGTAGTAGTAGTAGTAGTCGTCGTCGTCGTCGTCGTAGTAGTAGTAGTAGTAGTCGTAGTCGTAGTAGTAGTAGTAGTAGTAGTAGTAGTAGTAGTAGTTAGTAGTAGTAGTAGTCGTAGTAGTAGTAGTAGTAGTAGTAGTAGTAGTAGTAGTAGTAGTAGTAGTAGTAGTAGTAGTAGTAGTAGTAGTAGTAGTAGTAGTAGTAGTAGTAGTAGTAGTAGTAGTAGTAGTCTAGTAGTAGTAGTAGTAGTAGTAGTAGTAGTAGTAGTAGTAGTAGTAGTAGTAGTAGTAGTAGTAGTAGTAGTAGTAGTAGTAGTAGTAGTAGTAGTAGTCGTAGTAGTAGTCGTAGTAGTAGTAGTAGTAGTCGTAGTAGTAGTAGTAGTAGTCGTAGTAGTAGTAGTTAGTAGTCGTAGTAGTAGTCGTAGTAGTCAGTAGTAGTGTAGTAGTAGTAGTAGTAGTAGTAGTCGTAGTAGTAGTAGTAGTAGTAGTTAGTGTAGTAAGTAGTAGTAGCAGTAGTAGTAGTCGTAGTAGTCGTATAGTAAGTAGTCGCAGTAGTCGTAGTAGTAGTAGTGGTTACTAGTAGTAGTCGTAGTAGTAGTAGTAGTAGTAGTGTAGTGTAGTAGTAGTAGTAGTAGTAAGAGTAGTAGTAGAGTAGTAGTAGTAGTTAGTAGTAGTGTAGTGTTAGTATAGTAGTAGTCGTAGTATCGTAGTAGTCGTAGTAGTCGTGTAGTAGTAGTAGTAGTAGTAGAGTAGTAGTAGTAGTAGTAGAGTAGTAGTAGTAGTAGTAGTAGTAATAGTAGTAGTAGTAGTAGTAGTAGTAGTAGTAGTAGTAATAGTAGTAGTAGTAGTAGTAGTAGTAGTAGTAGTACTAGTAGTAGTAGTAGTAGTAGTAGTAGAAGTAGTAGTAGTAGTAGTAGTAGTAGTGGGGTGCCGCCGAAGGAAAGCGGATACGGTGGGGGCGTTGGATAAGGAACCCTAGATAAGGAATCCGGGGTCTGGAAGGCAGTGGAACCCCAATCGGGGATCGGCCATGGGTATCACCGCCGCCTTCGTTGGATGAGGAATCCTGCAGGGTCTGGCGCCTCCCTCCTGGGCACTGCTTCCTTCACGAGCGCCCCCCCGCCGCGAAGCAGATCGGGCTCGGGCATGCCAGTAGAGAAGTGCAGAGCACGACCACACGCATCGCGTCTCGAAGCAGGGATGCGCTAGAATTAGGTCGGGCATGTCCCCCTACAGGCGGATTTTGGACGAAAAATAAAGAAATCAAAAATAAGCAAAACTTATCAAAAAAAAGTCGTCCCCATACTATGTTTTACTATTTTTGAGTATTCCCCCTGTAGAGGGACAGGCCCGACTTAATGCTAGAAGCAGATCGGGATCTGGTAGTCCGCTTTAGGACCTGCTTCCAACGCCCGGCGTGTGACCTCCAAGGCGAGCGACGAACACCAACCGGGTCTCACGCACGGCGGCGCAGCGACTCTGCGCGGTGTCTTGCGCGGGCCGCCAGCGCGGGCCGCCATCGCTGAAAGCGGGGGCCCTCGCGCGCGGCCTGTCGCGGGAAGCTCACGCGCGAACGTCGGCGCAGACGAACCCGCTTTCTTCTCCAGCCCAAGATGGCCCCAGGAGGGCCCGAGATGGTCCAAGGTGGCCCCAGCATGCCCCCAAGATGTCATGGCGCCTCTTCTTCTCTCAGTGCGTCCCTGGCCCCCCCCCCTCTGGGCCGCGCACATGCCGCCCGCCATGATTTGCGTCCCCCCCTTCTTGGACGCCCCCCTCTTCGACGCCCCGCTCGAGGCGGAAGGCTGCCAGTGGCCCAGGGCGGCGGCGCGCCCGAGGGGGGAGGTGAGAGGCAGCCCGGCCTCAGAAGTCGGCGGGGCTTCTCAGAAGCCCTCCGGCCTCCCGAGGAGCCGTCTCCGAGGAATTTCCAAAAATAGTCCCAACATAGTCTGGGGACGATGCTTCGACTTGTCGAATCTTTTGGAGCATGGTTTGGGAAATCTTGCATTTTGCAGGTGCCCTGGGACACACAAATAAATACACACAAATAAAATGGTTCCCAATATTTTCTCATGTTTTCTGGGTTTTTGTCTAACCCCCCCCCATTCCCAGATTTTCCAATATTTTCTGGGGAACCGAAGATTCATTGTGCCTGTGTGCTTTTTTCCCTCCTGACATTTGTCGTCCCAAAGCCGCCTGTCGGGGGCATGCCCGACCGAAAGCAAGCCGATGCCTCCCGAGCCTTCCGGGGAGGCCCGCCCCCTCTGCCTTCCCCCGTGGGCCCGCCGCCAAGTGGAGCGAGCCAGCGATCGAGCAGCCTGGGGGGGGGCACATGCGAGCCCTACCCCTAAGTCGGGCGTGTCCCCCTACAGAAGGATTTTCGACGAAACATGAAACAAATACACCAAAAATAGCAAAAAGAATTATTAAAACATGGTCTGGGGACTATTTTTGGACCATGTTTGACCTTTTTGGGGCATGTTTTTGGGGGGGCACGCCCGACATTAACCCTACCCCTACCCCTCACGATTTCTGAGGGCAAGGGTGGGGTTCACTTTGCTCGGGAGCTCCCGAACGAAGTGAGCCCCACCCTCCCCCTCTGAAATCGTGATGGGGGTAGGGGTAGGGCTCGCATGCTGGAGGCGGAAGCCGCCGATCGTTCCAGTTTGAGCGGCCCACGCGGTGTCGGAGACCAGTGCCGGAGTCGTCACGGCACGAGCCTGCCGTAGGAGCAGGCAAGCAGCAGAACAGAGCCAGCTGCGCAGAGGGGGGTCGTGGGACCCTGGCCATCCAGAGCGCTCAAAAGTAGCACTCCAGACCTGTGGATCTGGTTATCTGGACTGCCCCAAACCTCGACAGAGATTAGGACGTCGAGGTCCTGGTGCTGTTTTTGGCCCTCCTAGAGTGTCAGGGGGGGTGGGAGGCCTCGTCGACGGAGGCTGCTTGAGAAAAGGAAGGGGCCAGCGCCCTCTCAGGAGCAGGCCCCACGCGAAGCCTGCCCCCGCCCCCCCTTGCCCCTCATCTGCGCGCCGCCGGCAGCGAGGAGGGCCAGCCGTCAGCCCGAAGCCCGGGATCGGCCCGAGCAGGCCGTGGAAGTCGGGCATCGGATGCCTCTTCGGGCCTTCCGGCGTGGGCGCCTCGTGCAGCCTGCGTTGGCCATCTCGGGGCCACTCCGGAGGACGGGCCTCCTCGGAAGGCTCGGGAGACATCTGCTTGCTTTCGGTCGGGCATGCCCCCGACAGGCGGATTTGGGGCGAAAAGTGCAAATACACCAAACATGCTCGAGGAGATTCGAAAAGTGCGAACATCGTCCCCAGACTATGCCTGGATATTCCTCCTGCAAAGGGACGTGCCCGACTGAATGCTTGCTCTTCTGAGCAGCTTCCTGAGCCATCTCCGAAGGCGGAGACGGCTCCTCGGGAGGCCGGAGGGCTTCTGAGAAGCCCCGCCGACTTCTGAGGCCGGGCTGCCTCTCACCTCCCCCCTCGGGCGCGCCGCCGCCCTGGGCCACTGGCAGCCTTCCGCCTCGAGCGGGGCGTCGAAGAGGGGGGCGTCCAAGAAGGGGGGGACGCAAATCATGGCGGGCGGCATGTGCGCGGCCCAGAGGGGGGGGGGGGGCCAGGGACGCACTGAGAGAAGAAGAGGCGCCATGACATCTGAAGAACGATCAGGGTCCCCACGATGAGATCCCCCCTCCCTAGGCATCGCCCCCCGCTTGGCCGCCCCCGACGCGAGCGCCCGCGCCGAGGTCGCTGTCGCGTCGGCGCGACGCGCACCGACCCTCGGGCAGAGGCGGAGCGCGAAAGGCGGCGGCCTTCCAAGGAGGGGGGGGGGAGGCACCTGTGAGAGGGCCGGGGCCTCCTCGGGCAGGGCACTCCGAGAAGGCTTCGGAGAAGGCCCGTTGGAGGCCGGGGGGGCTCCTGCTAGCGACGACGACCGACGACGACGACGACGACGAGAAGCCCTCCCGGCCTCTGATGGGGCCTTCTCGGAAGCCCCCGAAGTGCCCTCCCCGCGCAACGGCGCCGTGTTTAGGGTTCAGGGCCACAAGGTCTTGCGGATCAGACAGCCGCGCCCTAAGCCCCTCCCATGTGATCGCTCTGCTCCACAGGAAACAGGAGCAGGAGGAGGAAACATAGTGAGCAAGGACAGAGGAGGAGGAGGAGGAGGAGGAGGAGGAGGAGGAGGAGGAGGAGGAGGAGGAGGAGGAGGAGGAGGAGGAGGAGGAGGAGGAGGAGGAGGGAGGAGGACCCTCGGCGCGTCCACGCGGTTTGAAATCACCTCCCCCTGGAGGCGTCGTCGTCGTCGTCGCCGCCGTTGCTGTCGTCGCCGTCGCCGTCGCCGTCGCCGTCGCCGTCGCCGTCGCCGTCGCCGTCGCCGTCGCCGTCGCCGTCGCCGTCGCCGTCGCCATCGCCGTCGCCGTCGTCGTCGTCGTCGTCGTCGTCGTCGTCGTCGTCGTCGTCGTCATCGTCGGCGAGCTGTCGTCGTCGTTTTCACCGTCGTCGTCGACGTCAGCATCGTTGTCGTCATTGTCGTTGTTGTCGCCGTCGTCGCCGTCGACGTCGTCACCACGGACCATCCAAACTTGCCTCGGGGCCACCGTGAGCCTGTGGAGGTTGGCCTCAACTTGAGGCCATCACGGAGATCAGCAGATGTGCGCCGCGTAACATTCGTGTTGCGTAAGATGTAAGGGCTGGGTCCATGTAAGTGAAGATAAGCAGATGCCCACCGCCCAATATTTTTCATCGTCGCCGTCGCCGTCGCCGTCGCCGTTCCGTCGCCGTCGCCGTCGCCGTCGTCGTCGTCGTCGTCGCCGTCGTCGTCGTCGTCGTCGCCGTGATCGAGTCATCTTCGTCGTCGCCGCTGGGAGAAGCTCCCCCAGCCTCTGGCGGGCCTCCCCAGAGGCCTCCGAAAAGGGCCCTCCCCGAGGAGGCCCCGGCCCTCTCGGAGGCGCCTCCCCCCGATCGCCCCGGAAGAGGCCGCCGCCCCTCGCGCGCCCGCCCCCCCTTCTCGCCCGCCTGGATGGTTGAGGGAGCGGGTGGAGGAGCTCCAGGCCTGCTCCCGCTCGTCGGTCCGCGCGATGCTGTGCTGAGCCCCATCCTGCTCGGCAACCTGCGCCTGCCGTTGAGCCTGCTCTTTTCTCGCTCGCCTGGATGGGGCTGCATCTCGGAGTCACGACGTGGGGAGACCCCAGACTCCCCACGTCGTGCAGATGGATCGCGCGGCATCATCGATGCATCGCCGATGCATCGGCGACGTCTGTGATGCATCGGCGCCATCGGCCTGGAGAACATCGGACTCCACATCGAGCCGCATCGCCGATGCATCGGCGGCACGGCACCATCCTCCGACCCCATCTCCTCGGACCCCACCTGGGAGGCCTAGATTCCTGCTGCAGACCCCCAGAGGTCTGGGCCCCTTCCCGGGGACCTGTCTCATGACTCGTAATTTTCTGACGGGCCCGATGCCCTGGGGGGGGAGGCGGAGGCGAGGAGAGGAAGAAGGAGGAGGGAGAGAAATCCTGGACACAAATGCGTCCAGGGAGGAGGGAGGAGGGAGGAGGGTGGAGGGAGGAGGCAGAAGGGAGAAGGAAGCCGAAAATGGAGAAAAGCCTTCATTCGTGTGCTGGCACGGCGCAGAGAGGGCCGTTGGGGCTGCTCCAGGGCCCCCAAAGCCGGCTGGTGACGGGCCGCGTGGTGCCCTCGGAATCTCCAACCCCGCCGCGTGGCCCATCACTGCACTAGCCTTGGGACCTCGGAGGCCCCGGTCGCCCGAGACGTCCGCGGAGAGCGGCGCGGGTCCCAACACCGCGCGGTGACCCCGAATCCCCACCGACGGCGCCCGGCAACTTGCGGGCAACGGTCGTTGCCAGATCTTTTTTTTAATAGCGATAGTTTGGGAGGAGAAGGAGGAAAGCTGAGGGGAATGAACGCGCGACGAGAGCCGGCCGCAGTGCAGAGATGAAGGCAAAAACCTGCAATAGCCCCGGACTCGGGCAGAGGGGGGGGCGAGGAAGGGGGGGGCAACGGTCGTTGCCAGAGCTGAACCTTAACGGTGCTTTTCGTGTTCGTTTTGTTCTCGCTGTCCCTCGCTCTTGTCTCGAATCCGCCTCTACCGCAAAACGAAATCGAAACGAAAAGGGCCCACGAAATCACCGAAAACACCATTTAGGTCCAGCCCTGGTCGTTACCTCGCCCCCCCCCCAACGGTAACGACCGTACGACCTGGAGACTGGCGCACAACGGTCGTTACCCGCCCCCCCCCCCGCTCAACGGCAACGACCGTACGGACGTCGGGGTGTTGCTAGAAGCGTCCCTGGCCCAAGGTGCCCCCAGGATTCCCACGGAGGTCCCCACGGCCTCCAGAGCACCTTTCACGAGGTCCAGGGAACCCTGGGGGGTCCAGAATGGAGCGACAAGCTGAGAACGGGGGGGGGGGCCTGCACCCCCGACTCCCCCCACGAGGCTGGTGCTCGCGCGCACGCTTGGGCGACCCCACTGGCTTCAAGTCGGGCGTGTCCCCCTACAGGGCGATCTTGCGCGAAAAATTACAAATGCCCCAAACAGATTCCAAAAATGCGCAAACATAGGAACTATTTTTGAATATCCCTCCTGTAGAGGGACAGGCCCGACTTAACACGGGACATCGGGGAAAAAGTATACACCACACCACCCCAGCGTCGCCCTCGACCCCCAAGATATCGTGGGATTGAAAAACAGCCCGCCACTGGTAATGTATATGTCCCAGTTTCGAAAAATGAAAAATACCCCAAACATATCCCAAACATGCGCAAACATAGCAACTATGTTTGAACATCCCTCCTGTAGAGGGACAGGCCCGACTTAACACCGCACCACCCCAGCGTCGTCCTCGACCCCCAAGAGATCGTAGGATTGAAAAACCGCCCGCGCGGCGTGGCCGCCCCACTGGCTCACCCCACTGGCGCACCACGCGGCGTGGCCGCCCGCCCGACTCGGGGGAGGATGAACGCAGAAGAAGGGAGGAGGGGGGAGGAGGAGGGCGTGGGGCAGGAGGATGAGGAGGAGGAGGAGGAGGAGGAGGAGGGGAGGAGGAGGGAGGAGCGTCGGCGCGCGCCGCCTGGTCCTGGGGCGCAGGTGGTCTCCCGAGCCTGCTCCCGCAGCTCCTCGCGGGGAGGCGTCGGGTTCCCGATCTGGGGGGGAGGAGGAGGAGGAGGCGGAGGAGGAGGAGGAGGAGGAGGAGGAGGGAGGAGAGGGGAGGAGGAGGAGGAGGAGGAGGGGGAGGAGGAGGAGAGGAGGAGGAGGAGGAGGAGGAGGAGGATGAGGAGGAGGAGGAGGAGGAGGAGGAGGAGGAGGAGGAGGAGGAGGTGGGGGAGGAACGAGGAGGAGAGGAGGCGGAGGAGGAGGAGGAGGCGGAGGAGGAGGAGAGAGGGAGAGAGGAGGAGGAGGAGGAGGAGGAGGAGGAGGAGGGAGGAGGAGGAGGAAGAAGAGGAGGAGGAGGGGGAGGAGGAGGAGGACACGGAGGGAGGAGTCTGGAGGGGGTGGGGCTGCCAGGACAAACTGGCGGCACCCGGGCGCGACCTCCCGCTGCAAGCATCCCGCGAACACTGCACCGTCAAAGCACAACATGGGCCGACGATGACGATGACGATGACGATGACGATGACGATGACGATGATGATGATGATGATGATGATGATGATGCTGATGGTGATGCTGATGATGATGGTGGTGATGATGATGCTGCTGCTGATGCTGATGAAGATGATGATGACGATGACGATGCCGATGACGATGATGACGATGATGATGCTGATGCTGATGATGCTGATGATGATGATTATGATGATGCTGATGGTGATGATGGTGATGATGATGAATATGACGATGACGATGATGATGATGACGATGGTGATGATGATGATGGTGATGATGGTGATGATGATGAATATGATGATGCTGACGATGGTGATGCTGTTGATGAGAACGGACTAGGATGAGGATTGTGATGACGACGATGGTCAATATGTTGACGATGGTGATGAATATGACGATGATGCTGATGATGATGCTGATGCTGATGATGGTGGTGCCGATGGTGATGGTGATGATGTTGATCATGATGACGATACTGCTGAGAAGGATGGTGATGGTGATGATGGTGATGATGCGGATGATGATGCAGCTGCCGATGATGATGCAGATGTTGAATATGATGGTGATGTTGATGCTGATGATGATGATGATGATGAGGATGATCATGCTGATGGAGCTGGTGGTGATGTTGATGATGATGATAATGGTGATGATGATGATGATGCTGATGATGATGCTGATGATGATGATGATGATGGGGATGATGAAGGTGATGCTGCTGCTGATGATGAGGGTGGTGGTGGGTGGTGGTGGTGCTGATGATGATGATGATGCTGCTGCTGCTGCTGCTGATGATGATGATGATGATGATGATGATGATGATGATGATGATGACGTGTGATGGGTCTCTGCCGACCCCAGATGCGCCCTTGGTGGCACAGCTGGCTGAGCCTAAATGCAGCAGCTGGGCGCGGCCTTGGAGGCCGGCCGAACCCCGCCCCGCCATCCAAAGACTTGCACCCTACCTCTCCAAGGTGACCTCCTCTTCTCAGGAGGCCGCGCTTGATCGAGACATGCAAGAAACGCGCGAGCCTACGTTGAAGGGGCCCCTGGGACACACAAACAAATGCACACGAATAAACAGATTCCCTATATTTATACATATTTTTTGGGGGGGTTTTGTCTTCCCGCCCAATTCCCATATTTTCCCTTATTTTCTGTGAATCGACGAATACTTGTAGCTGTGTGTTTTTTTCCCTCCTCATACGTTGTCAGCTGCAGTGCTGGAGCTGGCTCGCGCGGCAGGGGCCCGCTCGTGCGGGACAGACCGCAGGGCGCGAGGCAATCATCTCTCCTACCATACCGGGAACACTGCGTGCGAGAAGGGTCCCTGGACGGAGTGGCTCCCGCAGAGGGCGCACCGCCGGCCCCACGACGGCTGAGCACCGACGGCCCCCACGACGGCTCCGCGACGCCCCAGAGGCCGCCCCGACGGCCCACCGACGGCTCCGAACCGCTCAGGAGGGCGCCCCCCTGCCCCCCCAAGACGGCTCCGAGCCGCTCCAGAGGCCACCCAGACGGCCTCACCTTGCCGTCGCTCGGACGTCCATTTCCCTGTGCATTGTTCGGTTTCGTGCATTGCTCCGGGCCGCTCAAGAGGCCGCCCCGGCGGCCCCATGGGGCCCCCAGGGTAGGCCAGGAGCCCCCGAAGACGACGGGCCTCGAGGACTCCCCAGGACACGCCCCGAGGCGTGCAGGTCGCTGCAGTTCCTTTGGGGGGAAAGCCGTCACGTCGCTCGTTTCTAATTGTGCTCGTTTCTGGTTGTGCTCGTTTCTACTTGTTCCTGGCCCCCTATGGTGGCCAGGAAGAGGCCCAGGACAGAAGAAATAGAAACGAAAGGATCTTGGCCCCCCAAAAAATCAAAGAACTTCCGAAGAACTAGAAACGAACGATGTGTGTGTGTGTCTGTGTGTGTGTTTGTGTTTGTGTGTGTGTGTGTGCGTGTGCGTGTGCGTGTGCGTGTGCGTGTGCGTGTGCGTGTGCGTGTGCGTGTGCGTGTGCGTGTGCGTGTGCGTGTGCGTGTGCGTGTGCGTGTGCGTGTGTGTGCG